TGGGTTTCAGACCCCAAGTAGGGTGAGGAGCACATCTGTGTAGGAAGATGGACAGCCCGGTGTGCAGTGTCAGAGCCTGGGGGGAGTGAGAGGCACATGGTACGAGGAGGGTGGGGCAGGGAAGCTATGGAAGATTGGGAACATGCACGGGGATTGGCCAAGTAAGAAATGTGCTGAAAATAATGAGAACCAGGATTGTAACCACTGGAGAAAATTATAAATATTAAAAGAGAAATAGAATTAATTTTGTAATTTTGGATTGGAATGGGAATATCAGTGTGAACTCATGAATCTCAATATATATAGACAAAGAAATAAATATTGATGTAAATAAGTGTGTGTTGTTTTCCTTAGCTCTGTCCCTAAGTCATTCTCGGAGTAATAGCACCTTAGTTAGCAATGAGCCCTCAGATCTTGGCTTCCAAATATCATTTTCCACTAAAAGGGACAAGGGCTCCTTGAGGAAATGAGTCATTTCAAAGGCTGGGGTAGAGAAAATACAAGATGAGCCTGGAACCCTGAAATATCTTGGGCCAGAGAGTAAACAATACTCAAAGATGGATGGGAACACGTCAAAGAACACAGAAGCCAGGTTGAAGGGGCTCCAACTGGCCAGATTCAGGGCAACTTGACAATCAAAATAAATAATCATACATAACAGATTATAGCATTGGATAATATAGGATTCTATGAGCTCATATTGACATAAATGAATGAATTAGTTGGAAGTTTGATAAGCAATAGTATATTTACATATACTCAAAATATCTTTCAACAAAACACTTATTGATTACAAAGGGAAAAAAAAACTTTTGCCATGGAAAAGGCTTGTACACACCATTTTAATCAAGTGTTCAAGGTGAACATCACCAAGATGCAGTGAAAGCAACACAAATCAGTTCTGAGATTCTGTTTGTTGAAGTTGGATAAATTGAATCCAACAAGCAAACACAAGTCAAGGGACATTTCACAGAAGAACTGTGAATAATCTTCATAAGTGTCAGTTTTATGAAAGTCAAGGAAAGACTAAAGAATTGTTCCAGATTGCAGGAGACTAAAGAGACGTGACAGCTAAATGCCATGTGTGACTCTGAACTGGATCCTTTTGCTCTAAAGGGCATTTATTGAGACAACAGGTGAAACTTGAAGGGCATCTCTGGATTAGATGGCAGTAATGTTTGAATGTTAATATCCTGGCTTTGATAGTTGTACTGGATTATGAGGAATGTCTTTGTTTGTAGGAAATACACTAAGCAATCGAGGATGGTAAGGCATTATGTAGACAGCTTACTTTGACATGTTTCAGGAAAAGTAATTTATCCTACTGTTCTTGCAAGTTTGGGATTGTTTCCAAGTAAAAACCAAAATCCAGAGGCAAACTGAGCAAAGATAAGAAATGGAAAACTTGGAAGGAACTAGGGGAGGCTTCAGGCAGAAGATGGAGCAAAACAGCTATATCTGAGAGAAGAGGAAGGGCTAGAGCGAATTAACCTCTTTAGGAGAGGGGCAGAGAGGAAATGAGATGCTGACGTAGCTGACGCGCTAAAGGTGGGCTTGGCAAGGGACTTGGAGAAGCTGGCAAGTTAACAGAGAAAAGGCTTGGTGAGTGGGCAGATGAGGAGGGTGGAGAAGAGAAGGCTGGGCATTTAAATTCCATTTAACTTTTACATAAATGTGTAAACTGAGAGTTTTCTCCACATTTAATAAATGAATAAACTCAGGCTCAAAGAAGTTAAGTAACTAGCTCAAAGTAATATAGCTGGTACGCAGAACCAGGATTTAAATCCCAGTGTCTGTGATTTCAGTGACAACGGGATAGTAAAAAATAGTTTCATCGGGTCGTTGAAGGGAGAGAATTCCATTTTCCTCCCCTGAGATCGGAGGGGGCTCAGAGACTGAGGGAGAAAATGATTGCGGGGGTTTGGATGTTGGGATTGCAACGAGGATTTGAATAATCTAAAGAAATGTGTTGTTGAAGTCATAGGGAAATGACAGAAAAAGCAAAGAAAGAGAAACACCATCACTTTCGGGTGAGAGGAAGTCAAGCAGGAAATTCAGGAGGCATAGGGAATGTGGTAGGCCAACTTCTAAAATGTCATCCAGTGGTTCCCACCCCCTAGTATTCATGCCCCTGTATAATCCTCTCTTTTGAGTCTGGATCTAGTGGCTTATTTCTGACAGAAAGAATTCAGCAAAATCGACAGGAATTCACTTCTGTGATTAATTGTAACTTTAAAACTTTAACTTTCATCTTGCTTGCAGACTCTGATGGGTTGGTTTCAACGAAACAAGCTGCCTGAGTCAAAGAACTAGGACAGCCTCCATCTGTAAAACTTTCAACAATAAAGATAAATTTAAAAAAAAAGAAAAAAGCCAGCAGGAAGTGAGGCCCTCAGTCCAATGACCTTCAAGAAACCGTGTCTTGCCAACAACCCTGTGAATGAACTTGGAAGAATATTCTGTCCCACTTGAACCTTGATGGAGTCTTGTGAGAGACCCCGGGCCAGCGCTGTGATTGCAGCCTGTGGGAGACCTTGAAGCGGAGGCCCCAGCTAAGATGCGCCTGGATTTCTCACCCACAGAAACTGGAGAATAAATGTGTGTTGTTTTAGACCAGTAAGTTTTGGGACACAGTCTGTCTTCATTATTCAAGGAGTTTGAGTACTTGCAAACTTGCCGGCTCACTAACATTTACTTGTAACCCCCCAAGTCAGTACTCAGTGCGCTTTCACGGTCACCATGGACATGCACAGAGCAGTGAAAATTTTGACGTGCTTGACACACACATTCTGCCTTCTTGTTTCAACTCTTATCTTGTAAACACCTGTCCTTTTCATGGTCCATTTAGTGTCATGTTTGTTTGTTTTTTTATTAATTTAATTTCTATTGGTGATTTCACTGTTTGAAACGGCCTCCAAGCACAGAGTTGAAGTGTTGTCTAGTGTTCCTAAGCACAGGAAGGCTGTGATGTGCCTCATGGAGGAAACTCACTATTAGATAAGCTCCGTTCAGGCATGAGTTCTATTCAGGATGCTGACTGTGAATTCAATGTTAATGAATCAACCATATATATTCAATATGGTGTATTTAAACAGAAACTCACATAGGGCATGGTTATGTATTGATCACTTCATGGTGACTGGAGGTTGGCAGGAACCTAATCCTGCATTTCCTCTAGGAGCAATGGTTTAGTATTTGCTCATTCAGAGTTCTCAGTGATTTTATAGGACATAACGAGCCCAAATCCTGAGAATAGGCTGTAATTTGTTATGTAGCAATACGATAGCAAATACAGGGGAAACAGGGTAATTCAGTTCACAAATCTAAGGAGGACGAGTGTTTGCGACATGATCAAATACCAAGGATGCAGGTCGCTCACTAGAGGTGAGATTAGAGGGATAGCAGAAAGCAGTTATTAATTAGTGTCTGTTATCTAAGTATCCTTAAAATGGCTTTATTTTGAAAATCACTAATTTCGCCTGGCTAAAGAGAGTCATTTTGGGTGAATGTAAGTAAAACTCTCTAGGAAAATTAGCCTCACAAAGCAATTTCTTTGCTCTATAAAGCCCACAGCTGTGTGACGATTGATGTGTTGAAAGGCACCAGCTTAATTAAAAGACTCCATGTTCAAACAGGGTGATGTAACCAAACGCAAGTTTCTGGCAGCTGCAGCTCACCGACACTGCCAAGCGGCCAACCCCTGGAAACGGTACAGCTCCAGAAGCTGTGGAGGGGAAGAGCCCCCTGGGGACCCAAGGTGCCCTAAAGCGACTTTTCTATAATCCATGGCTGTAAATTCTGGCATCTATATCTAAGTTTAAGGTATCTTCATTTTATTTACTTTTAATTTCAGCCCATAAAAAGGTTATTTATTTTGTTTTATAATTAGCCTCCCAACTTCATCTTGGATCCCTGCTCCTACCCTTATGCCCTGCACTCACTCTAATGAGCGCGCCAAGTCCTTAAACATACATGGGTTTTATATAATACATAGTATTGTGTGTGTGTGTAGAATTACCAGTCACATAAGTGGCACTATGCTATAAATATTGAGTTCTTTCTTACTTTTTCCACTCTGCCCTATGATTTAAGGGTTGCTCTATGAATTTGTAGTTTGTTGCTCCTAAGAGCTGGGTAATATACCACAGTGTGTATTCACATCTCACCCATCCTCTCCCCTAGGTCGGGACACCCAGCCTGCCTCCAGTTCCCACTACCACAGTGACATAAACATAAAGAGAGCAGAACGAAGGTAGCAGCCCACCCTGTAGTATCAGGCTTTTCATTGGCCCGTAACCACTGCTCTTGTCTATCTTCCCTTCGTTGGGTAGGGAACAACATCCACCAGAACTCATTCCTAGACCATGAGAACATGTAACGTTTCACTTTTTGTAAAGCCAACTCTCATTCGGTTACTCCAATTTTCTGAGAGGCAGCGTTACAGTGGTAATTCCCAACTCTGATTTTGTCCAAAGTTTGTAAAAGTAAAAAAAACCCCACTTAATGCATTTTGATTTAAAATAGATATATGCCATGAAAAGGCAAGGGACAGGGAAAGGAGCTGACAAAATCAAGTAACCCTGAATCATGGAGACATTTCCGATGTGAGACATTGCTCACCCAGAGGGTAAACACACATTCTGAAAACTTTTCTCACTGAGGCATGGAAGGCAAAAATGAAAAGAATAAGAATTGAGTGACAAGAAAGCCAAAGTTTATACTGTCTTCAAGTACCAAGTGCCAAGCTAGAGTGATACCCAGATAAGGCTGCCGCAAAGTGAAGCTAGAGGAAGATTCTCGCCGACTCAAGGAAAGAAAGCCATAACTTGTGGAACTGATTTTTATTTCTCAATTATACAGAGAAGCTATATATATATATAGTGTTGTTACATATTTTTATATTATTAATCCACACTATTTAAGGAGAATTTATTTTCCCAAACAAAGTCTAATAGATACTTTACTCTGAGCAATCGAATACATGGTAGAAAACCCTTCAAATATATAAAAGATTAATTTGTGCACACATAAATGTCCCTAAGGGAGCAAACTACGGAGGCATGGTGATTCAGATGAGTGTTGCAAACACAGTACCATAAATGAATATTTAAAATTGATCTTGATAACACACAAGCTTGGAGTAGTGACTTCCTCACACATCTTGGAGTGTGTCTTGGAAGATAACCCCATAAAACATTGTATGGCTTCAATAGGAACTTCAGGGTTTTCTTCCATACCCAGCAATTGCCCTCACTCCTTGACAGTATCTTCTGTGCAGAATTTTGGTTCTTTGTCTTAATCAAGGAGCTAAGCAAAGAGCCGTTGCCACTTTGGGAAAGCAATACTTTTGCCCCAACAAACCCTTGGTTCCCTTAACTACAAATCTACAGAAAAAGTGCAAAACAGTTTCCAGAAGTCAGAACCAAAGCAAGAATGTTCAGGATGCATGATCTAGAAGAGCTAATGTGAATGTTTACATCTGCCTATCTGCTTAGGGATTTCTTCAGGATTCTTCTAGGATTCTATTTATTTGGGTTGAATTCACATGGTGGCTTTTCTCTAGCACATGCAATGAAATTAATTTGTCCTTTTAAGATAAGAAAATAGCAAATGCCTAACTATCAGCATGGTTACACAGCCCATAGAGCAGCCCAAATAAAACCACTGATTGGAAAGGATGCTTGTAATTTCTGTGTAAGAAGGTTAAACTTCAAACAGGATACCACCTGAGTAGTCTTCCATGAGAAGGCTGGACCAGTTCAAAGAAAATATGAATGGTGAGATTGTTGCCGTGTCTCACTGAATGTAACAAAAGCCCACTATCAAGAGCTCTGTGTCCTCAGGCTTTACCATTAAGTTGAACACTGACTTCTTCATTACTTCCTGTGGCTAGGGGGCCATGTAATTCATCTTCCAAAATGGGACACAACTGAGCAAAAGGAAGCATCATTGATAATTATGGAAGGGCAACAACAGTCAATGGGCGAACAAACGGGAATACTGGGTCACTGTACTTATGTCAACACTAAGTTCTAAGACAGAGGCAACATTTGGGCTTCCAAAGCTGGAGCTGGGCTGTGAGAGAAGGTATGCTCTGGGGCTTTGCTACAAGACAAGCAGATGTTATGAGGGAGAAGACTCAAAGACACTCAGCTGATAGGGACCAAGAGGGGAACATAGATAACTATGGCTTATGGAGGTATGAGAGCATGTCTGGAAGATGGGTGGGAGACCAACATGAAGCCAATGAGTTGGTGAAAGTCAGTCACCTGTGCAAAGATGTCCACTTCAAAGCATTTCAAAGCTTATCATACCCAGGGCTCAGAGTGTCACAGTCAGCTCTCTTGGGTGTAGTTACCACCCTAAGATTAGGGTGGAACCCCATTTTCCACTTCAGTTTTGTTTTTGCTAATTAGTACTAGGTGACACTGGAGACTAAGAATAACTCCCAGAGTATGATCAGGACCTCAGCAACACTTATAAACAGCCGAAAGCCTTCTTAGCGGGCTTCACTGAGGGTCATGTAAACACAATCTTTTTCAGCAGGCCATAGATTTTTCTGCCCAACTTTATTTTTTAAGAAGAAATTAGTTTGCAGCCTTACTCCCCCATTCTGTTAGAGAAACAAATATCTACATAAACAAATGAGGGAGTGGGCAAAGGATGTATGTGCCAGGGCAGGGCTCAGCAAATTTATCTAAAGATAAGAAATGTTTTCAGCTTTATAGGCCACATGGTCCATTGCAACTACTCAAATCTGCTGTTAGAGTGTGAAAGTAGCCACAAAGAGTTCTTAAATGAAGTTGTGTGGCCGTGTTTCAGTAAAACTTTACTTATGAACACTGAAAGTTGAATAATTTTCATGTGTCATACAATATTAAAAAAATTTTTCAACTCAAAGTGTGAAAACCAGTCTTAACTAGAAGGCCGGATGAAAACAGGTGTCGTGATACCTTGGGCTGTAGTCCGCCATCCCCTCCATTAGAGGCCCATAGATTCAAAATCACATTGGTATTTTAAAGGGTATATGAAGATGATAAAGGGTTATTTTGCAAACAATAGTACATCCTCATATTTAATTTTTAAATCTGTGATTAAATTAGAATGTTTTAAAGAAGATTACTTTTTATAAGTATGTAAGAGAGAAATTCAGATAATGGCATGTTACCAAATAATGAATTTCTAAATGGGTCACCTTACCCTTGACACCTTGACATTTAAAGTACAATATCTTCACTTAAGTTTATGACCTGAAGCACAGACAGCTACCAAAAATGTGAACAATGATCCTTAAGTTTCTCAACGCAGAGGTCTTTAACATTCATTGGAGAAATGATTTAAAAAAACTAATTAACAGAAAACATGATGCCCAATTTGATTACTAAAATAAAATTGATGTGAACTGGAACTTAGAGACAATTCATTCATGTGGACTAGAACCAAGATGGCACTTAGCTGACGGTGGTTTCACTTGTGTCTGTTTTCTGGCTGTGTTAAGCAAGTTTAGGGTCTTAAAAGTGGAGTTATGTGGGGACAACTTTTCCAGGGAGAGTTGAACCCTGTGTATTTTAAACCTAAAATGATCACTGTAGAGAAACCCAGCTAATCTATGAAAGCAAATTCACTCATAATTAATAGTGAATTGAAGTTATCTTATTGGTCAATACCAGTCTAAGAGATGAAATACCACTGCACCAGGGTTAACAAAATATGGAAATGGAACGTCCTACTTTCTTGCTAAGGTTCAACTAAAATCTTTGAGGCACATAATTGGCAAAATAGGATAATACACACAATTTCATAAAACACGTTAAGAGTAAACAAATTCCCTTACTGCTTTTCCCCTTAGGAATTTGAATGGCACCAGGTAGTGCAAGGTGGGAAACAGTACCATCCGCCCTGTCCCTTCCAGGTAGATGTATTTCAACAGAACCACGAAGCAGAAAAGCATCTTCTTCTTCCTGCCACAGCCAACTAGGGCTTTTCTTTCAGCTTCAGGTCAAGACTTGAAAAAAAGGAAGAAAAAAAAAAGAGAAACTGAGTAAGAAACATTCAGTAATGATTTGGGGTGGCGCGCGTTTGCTTTTTTCCCTCTCAAAGGACTTACTGAAAATAAATCATGCAAGTTCTTTATGCTAGAAAAAATTGGTAAAACACAATCCTCCCCTAGTTGTCAAGGCTGCCTCTAAAATATGGAATCTCTTGATTTTTGCAAAACTGTTTCTGGAAGCATTTTACGCCTTTTGAAATGATCAAAGGAGGCAAAAGACTCGTGTTAAGCCTTCTTCCTTAAATAGATTACTATGGAGAATGTTGTGGCACTTTGGAAATAAGGGATCTAGCAATTTTTAGTAAATGCCTGGAACAAGTAATGTCTGATGAGTGCTAAATAGTAAGAAAGTACTCCTGGAACGAAACAGCAATGGCAAAACTCCCCCAACATTTTCTGCTGCCAAAGGATTTGCCTGAAAGGGGTTAGCCTACTTTAATGAGATGGATTCGTATAACCTAAGAAAAGCTTGTTTTTAAGAATGCCTCGTGGGTTCCCAATATCTCAGGAATAAGTCTAAAATGTCCTGGGGCCACTTGTGTCTCTCTTTTGCTTCTTCGTGAACATATCATGACTTCTTGGTACCTACCAGGGAAGAGAGCTACATTCAGTGAACACTCTGAGGAAGAATTTCAGCCATGAAAAAAGAAAAAATTCATTTGTTGAGAAGGCCCATTGGGAAGTATCTGCAGATTTCGCTTAGAGCTGCCCTCCTGAGCCAGGAGTGCAGGGGTTACTGGCTGGCGGCCTCTGCAGCCGCTGAGCGGTGCTCCTCTTGGCAGCTTTGCAAGGAAAGCCATTGGGAGCCCACACTGTCTGCTCACCCCGTTTCAGGTAGTAAAGTCACTTTCCTTTGAAACACCCTCAGCAAGTTCACCACTTATTAGCTCTAGGGTCTTGGCCAAGTTACCTACCTTCTCTAAGTTTCCATTTTTGTTTCTGTAAAATAGAACAATCATCCCTCTTTCACATAGCTTCCTGAGGATTAAGTCTAAAGTGTTTTTAATTGTACGTAGTGAACACGTAGTAAATGTCGGTTAGTAGCAGTGCTAGTAGTAGAGTAGTAGTAGTAACTTGGCGTCTTTGAAATGGGACAATCCCATTTCAAATCATCTGTTTGTTTAATTGCTCTATTTATAATGCTCTTGTCTCCTTTGGGAGTTTTCAGACTTGGACATGTTAACTGCTAGGAGAGGTCAGGTCACCATGGATATTAATCTCTTTTTTTATTCCCTCAAGGATCTGACTTGTTTTCTTATCTGCGGAGTTTCACGGTGGAGCTGTCCTCTTTTTATGCACTACGATCCCTAGATCTTTATCTAGTATGCTTTATCTAGTATACAAAACAAGTCCTTCTTGATCTTGTTTTTGCTTCTAAATTATACTTCTCAGCTGCAGTTATTCCAAGAAGTCTGCACTGTTTGACGTGATGATTTGAATTTAATTCTTTCTTACCTGATAATGATTTAGCTTCTTCACAGACTAAGAGAATATCTATTACACCAAAATTTGGGACACTGTCTGAAAAGTGTGAATGTGGGTCAGGATATTTGAAGTCATCTTGGAAAGTTTAAAGTGCATGCTCACTTTGTCTCACCATCTAGACCCTCGATAAAATTTGGAAAAAGCACACAGAAAAACCCCCACTTATGTCATGATGCCCATTTTCAAACACCTCATTTGTCATACTGACTTTTTTGTAAACCTTCTAGGGTTTAATTTATCCCTTCAGCTTTGGGTAAACAAAAAACTGAAACATTGAAACCTATTTCCCCAGTTTATAGGAAGAAGCAAGAGAAAGTAAAAAGTGAACAATTTTAAAGTAAATACAGGAAACCACACTGAAGATTAATTTTTGAGACAACAGTTATCTTGTGGAGCTAATCAAGCTGCCACTAATTTAAGTCTCCCCAGATAGAACCAGATTCCCTGAATCATATATGCTTTTTTTAGTATGTAAAAATATAAAAAGGCATGTTGCAAGTTTTAGAACACATCTGAATAAATAAAATCGAACCCTAAAAGTGAGGGAGGCAAGCACGTAGAGCTACTTTGACAAATGGCATGCTTTTTAGAGGGGGGGGGAAAAACACATACTTTTAAAATCAGAATTGAAATTTGAAAAGAATATTCCTCACCTTTGGCAAATGGGCTGTTTTCTATAACCAACTTTCCAGTGAGACTAGCAACCTTCTGACAATTTTACTATAAGCCATTTTGGCCTCTATCATGTTAAATGGGATTCCTTACATGTGTCCGATGATATTGTTTAAAGATGAATTAAAACTCTGTGTTTTCAGTAGGAAGAGGGGGAAGATGGGCCTCACCTTCCCTTCTCGCTCTGAGGGAAATGAGAGGCCACTACAGAATCAGGACCCACTTCATTTTATTCATGGCCTGATTGAGCCCATTTGGCAGCTTATCCATTCAATACTGGAAGGTGTAAAATGCTTCCACACAGGAACCAGAAGAAGGAAAATGAAGCCCCTTATTCTAACAGTGAAGAAAGCCAGAAATCCAGGGCTGGAAGACCGCAGAGAGAATTCTTAGCCGCTCCTGCCCCGCATCCCAGATCTCGGTCTGCACTGGGGTCTGCGCCTCGCAAGGCCGTGGGCTCGAGCTGGCTGAAGGAAAGGGAGGCCTGCGGAAGAATGAGTTCTGAGAAGCGGCAAGAACGTGAGCAACTTGCAGCATCCCTTCTGCTCCCAGCCCTGGAACCCAAACAAGAAGCAGCTTTGCTCTCTCCCCAGCCCAAAGGGGTCTATATACAAATGCAGAACAAAACAGACAAGGTAGACAAAGGAGTGGGTAAGCCCGCAGATGTAGCAGCCATAGGCCAGTGAGTGACATTCTGTCCACACAGCTCAGGACTCTGCTCTAGGGGGCGCTGTTTTGGTGAGAAAGGACAGATTGGCAAAAAAGAATTACGGTGGACTAAAGGACAGATATTTTTGCTTTGAAGAATTTCCATGTGCCAATTTGCTTGAAGCAATTGTCTTCATCTCTAAGAGGTGGGACAAGTGTAAACTTCAGAAAAAGAGTTGTGCAATTTCAAAGTTCCCTGGACAGTCTTTGTTCTTTGTGTGCTTTTCGGCTGGGACCTTTTCTCTAGATTTTTTGTGCATAAACTTCCTTAAACTGTAAAGGTCACCACAGCAACTGCAGAGATATTCCACTGTGATTTTATAACTTCCCTACAACCTCGAGGGAAAGGAAGCCCAAAGAGAACAAAACATGACAATAGCTGACACATTTAAATCTGATGTTTGCCTCTCCTTTGGATTCCTGGGAAGAAAGACAATGTTAAATTCTCCACAATTCAAACCAGATCGGGAGCCCCTAATTGGATGGCAAGGTTCCCTCTGAGAGCACATTGGTGACCACAGTTTATTTCCTGAAACTGACTTGGCCAATAATTAATTGTTTTCTTAAGCACCTAATTTTGTGTCTAGTCTTTGGTTAGATCAGAGGTTGCACACCCATTCCAGCATCAAGACCACCTCCCTCTGATTTCAAAACCACTGTCCCTGGAACTGCACTGCAGATTCAAGTCCCACCTCTGGGCTATTTTAACAACTGTATCAGATCATCTCTCAAGGCTGCTCTTTCATTTCATATAAAATGAACCTCATAGGTTTATTCTGAGGATAAAAATCAAATTGTGCGTGTGAAGCTTTTTACAGAGCCTGACATGTGGTAAGAACTCACTGCGCCTTTGATGTTTATCTCCCACAGGATGGGACTAGATGGACTAGATCATCCCTTCAGCCCCATCCAGACTCAACTGCCTCTTGGAATTTTCGAAACAAAAAAATGCTCTCTCCCATCCATCAAAATATTAAGTTCAAATGGAAGTCCCAACGTTCGCTAATGAAACTAGGCGGTGTTAATTCAGAAAGCAGACTTGCATTGCTCTTGCCCAGATACTCTTCTTATAGCTGTCTCGTTCATTTTCTCCTAATGTTAGGACTGGGAAAACAGAATGCCCGGTATGAGCGGAGGTGGTCTGCAAGGACTTGAGAGGTGCTCAGCGAGACAGTGGTAAGCTGGCACAGCGCATTTTCAGTTGCTAGTTTCAGGAACAGGGAACATGAGCTGAACATCTGCACGAGGTTTACCCAGTCCTCAGTGTATCTGTCTCCAAGTGCAGCCGGACAATGCCCCAAGGAACCACACAGCACAGTGATGCGGCGTCTTACCCCCTCTCCGTAGAAGACAGTTCTGGGTCATTGTAAAGGCAGCTGGTTCTGGGCGCAAGGAAAGAACCAGAAGCAGTGAACATTTCTCCACGGCCACGACTTTGTAAGCACAATAGGTTTGGGCATTTTTAACTGTTTAATGTTGTCCCTTTGCTAATACTGAACAAATCTACACCTAAACTGATGATGGATTAATCTGTGATTTTTTTTTTTTTTATCGTCAGTTTTGAAATATAGTAATCGCCCATCATTGAGAAACATAAGGGAGATCGAAAACTCCAGACACCTCCAGTGGGCTTTTCTGTCCTTGTCACATTTTCCCTGATTTTTTTTCAATCTAGCTTATTCAGGGAATATATTGCAAATTTTTATTTATAATACAAATAGTATACTATTTTATATGTAAAGAACAATCCCTCTCAAGCAGCCTAATTTCATTTACATATAAACACACTTAACTTTCAGTTTTCACAAGAATGAAGATTTTTCCAAGACACTACAAGGAAAAATGCCAGTGTCAGCTCTCCTTGCTATTGTTACTACAGAAAAATAATAAGACACCATACAGCTGAGCTGCGCTCGGGAAAGACAAATGAATCCTAACAATAACCAGAACTGAAAGTGTCCAGGAAGAAAAGTGGAACCAGACAAAATCATGAAATAAGAGTTGTGTTATGGTGTATGACTGTGTTTATGCTGTTTTGGTGTAATACTGGCTGCTTTTGATATTGCGTATTGGTGAGATTCCTCTGTTAGCAAATTTCAGGTTTGCTTTCTATTAATTTCTGATTAATACTTTTACTTTTCATCTTCCTTTAAGTCTTTTATTGTTGGCAAACAAATACTAGTTAAAAGGATTCTGCAATCCTTTTTATATGCAAGAGCTCCTTTTGTCATGTCGATAATGTCATAAACTTAAATATCTATTTGCAAAAAAACAAGGTACAGTCATCAATGTTAGGTTTTTGGTTTTTTTAATGGCAGAAGGCTAGCTCTCCCTGGGGAGGGCAGAGGGCTTTCCCCTCTGCAACCCCACCCTCCTCTCTGATGGTCTGGTATTTTTATGGAGTATATTTAGCAACTCCAATGAACAAGGACAGTCAGGCAAGTGTTGACAGCATGCTAGAAAAACCTAGCAAAGCTGGACTGGAATCAGGAAAGGGCAATCTTCCAAACCCAGCTTTTCTTAGTTTTAACTCTGCATACTCCTTCCAAAGAAAATAGCGATTTGCCATCCACTGAATACTGTCACTCCGGAGGCAGCAGAAGATTCTTCACCACTGTCAGCCTAAGAATGGCTCCCTATGTACAATTTAACCTTCACATTTTCTTTTCTGTATAGATCTAAAGTTTTAAAGAAACAATACGGCAGGCTGGGGAAATCGCCTTCTGAAAGTCAGAGGTGCTGGTTGGGGGGTGGCAGTGTTTGTGGAGAGTGGGAGAATGTTGAAAAACACTGGTGGGAATAAAGCACATGATAAACGGGTAGGTTTGTTCCTGGGCAGGATATGTTTGTCTTTGGTTAGAAGCAGCCTGAAGCTTTCTAATAAAGGTCATGTCGAAAGTCAGGGTGCATCTGTCTGTTGATAGAAAGCGCCTGTGTTCTCCGGCTTCTCCAGTCTAACCACAGATCTGCAGTGATCGTGTTTTCTGAACCCCAAATCATCACACACAGTCTGTCCAAGAGTTGGGGGGCCACCTTAGAGGCTGAAAGGTTGTTGAGAAGATGTGGTTAATATGCCAGAATGGTAGGATACAGAGGAATTTCAATCATCTGTGGGGTAACAGAGTAAAATCCTTTCTCCTTACACATTTTCAAATGTGCAAATATATTTGAATTCCTCATGCATTAAGTCACCATCAAAAGAAGGAGGGTCAATTGGAGAATTCAGACAGGTGGCTTAGCCTCTAAATCCAAAGTCAGCATAGACTCCCCCCTCCCCCCCAGACAAATCTAATTATTTTTATTCAGTCAATTACTTTAAGGAGGTGGTTCTCAGAGCCTGGTCCTGAGACTGGCAGCACCAGCATCTTTGCAAACTTGTTAGAACTACAGGTTCTCAGGCCTGCAAATTGGAAACTTCGGGGTGGGTCACAGGATGCTGTGCTGTAACAAGTGCTCCAGCCTATTCTCATGCTCAGTGAAGCCTGAGAACCACTGCTCCAGTCTTAACCTTAAGCACATTCGTCAGTTTATGCAGCAGAAATTTACTGAGCATCTACTATGTACTGGGCATGAGCTTGATGCTTCTTTTAGGAATGAGATCAAGATGTCTCAGGACCACTTGGAAAGAGGTATGGGGGTGGGAAAGAACAAAATGAAGGGGCTGAGAGAAAAAAAGAGAAAGCTACACAACTAAACCAAATGTGATAACTGGTTCTCTAGGGTAGCCCTGCAGGAAGAATAAAAATACGGGAGGGGATGTCTGTGGAAGGAGGCAAGATTGTACGGTACTAATGAAAAAACAGGGCTGTGTGACTTTCTAGTGGGCTTGGCTGGAAAATTATTGATGTCACACACACACAGCATTTTTGGTCTTAAAAACAATTTTCTAATTTCATAAATATGTTATTCTTTAAAAAAAAAAAAAAAGAGAGAGAGAGAATCTTAAAGAGAAAGTCCTTGCTGTTTCTCTCTGGGGCATCTCGTGACACAATGCAGTTTGAGTACAGATGAAAGCTAAAGGGGTGCCTTACTCCCACATTTGGTTCCTTAATTCCCAGTATCTTCCTTCCACAACTTCTTGTTTTTAACAGTTGAGTTAGAGACTAAGATTTTGTTAGAGTAAAAATTTATATAATTTTAGTATTGTTAGTCTAACTGGGTGTCAGTTATATTAAAAGAAAACTAGAGGATAGAAATACTGTAACAGTAAACTACTATAATGCCAAACTTTCTAAAGCAAAAATCTTTCCTTGAATGGTTAACCCAAAAGATCCACACTATAGGAAAATAATTCTACAGATTACCTGCAATAGAAATGAGCTGGAGGGGAAAAAAATCTAAATGGATCGTTTTCATGAGGAAACAATCTGCAGAATAACTTTACTAATTAAGATCTTATTTATACAGAATTTGTAGCTGTTTGCACACTGTCCAGACTTTCTGCTTCTGCAATATCTATTAAAATGGGAACTGGTCATAAAAATTAACAGTGTAAGCAACATTTGAAATGGAGAAAAAGCTCAATACAGCAAACATTCCAAATAGTACTTGTTTCCATTTAACATGTAGTGTCAGAAAATTATTTGTAACTTGGAAATAAAAAAGGAAATTACTGGATGTTCTTTCAAAGTGGTGCTTTGACTCTCTACTGATGGGCTATTTTACAACTTTGCAGGGCCAGAGGTTAACTTTTAGATTTTTGCTGAGCAGAGATGAAAATATTTTTTGTCCAGCATGAAAGATAACCCTGCTGGACATTAATCGGTTTTGCACCTAACCCGAAGATCTTACCCTAAACAGTCCTTTATTAATTGCCTTTTGGTATCTTGTTTCAGTAATGCTCTTTGAACTGGTTTTAACACCTTACTGGTTCTTTCATTAAGTAATCAGTTAAATAAAATCACTGGCATGAATTCATTTTATATTTGTGTTAAAGTTATGATTTTGCCTTTTTGAAAATTATACTTTAACAATAGTGAGCAATGATATTTTTCCTATTCCTCCAAATAGCTCAGAAGCTGTTAGTTAAGCAATATTTCCAAGTCACTAAATAACGTGTTAAAAAAAATATTGGAAAGTGATTAAATTGGTTCTACAAAAATATTCTAAATTGCCACTTGCCATCATTTCTTTCCCTTTGTGTGAATTAGTGAGGTTTTGTTGCCTAATATAACATCCAGATGATCAGTATACTATATGTGTTATATACACATACTATGTGTGTGTGTGTGTGCGTGCCTATGATGTGTTCTTTTGCTGTGGTGTGTAAAACTGCATGTACATTTTTTAAAAAGTTAAACAACAGTAACAAATGCATTCTTCAAGGTAACCAAGATCATGGGGGAAATGGACTATAGTACAAGTAACAAACTGCATCTATCACAGGACAAAGGGAACTTTTAAAGTGCAGCATTATCATCAGGATGCAAAAATATAACCCCCCGACATGCAGGCTCTCCCAACTCATTCCTGAAATGCAAGCCAACACCACGCCAGCTGCTGAACGAAAACCAAGTCTTACTTAGCTGCTTCTGATGCTTCCCTCAGTTCTTCATCCAGTCTGCACGAGCAAAAATTATCAGTGTAGAAAACAAAACAAAGGAAAAAAGCAAGCAGAGCGTGAGACAGTCACCCAGCAAAGCAGAGCCAAACATAAGTGGAGTGTGTTTGCTTCTAAAAACCATCCTCTGGAGCCCTGGGAGACACTCCTTCAATTAAAAGTGGCGTCATTTCCTCCCATTCAGTGTTTACATACGTTTACTTTGCAAAATCCTTCATAAAGATGGATATAAAAGTTGCAAGGAGATCAGAAACATGCTGGCTGAATAAAGCTGAAAACATCCACATCCGTCTGTCGAGTACAGTTAAAGTTAGCTCGCAGCCTGGGCCAAGTCAGGGATGTATCTGGTTTAGTAGGCTTCGGTTGCAAATTAGGTTGACCTCAACAGCTTCACACAAGACAAAGACCCAGAAAGGTATACACAAGGGACCGATACAGGGAGCTCTTGCTCTGGCCGCATGTTGAGGTCACCCACGAGTGAGACACCGGGGCGCACACACAGGGGGGCCAGCGTGAACTGCAGCTCAGGAGATTTTTACCTCACGCTTCTCTTATAAGATCTCTCTTCATCATACCTTCCGAGACAAAAAACGGATGCAATGAGGAACATGAACGAACGGATGAAAAAATGACAGGGCGGCGTTTCAAAGAACAGTCAGAAGATGAGAGAAAAACCTACCCAACTAACAGTCCAACTGCCTTTGAGGAGAAATCTTATTTCTATGATATATCATCAATAATGTAGGATTTCTAATTACACACAGCCAGTACTTATTATTTGCAGATTCTGTTTGCAGATTCATCTACTTGCTAAACTTTATTTGCAGCCTCCAACTGAATGCCTGTGGCGCTTTCACGATCACTCGAGCACGTTCAGAGAGCGGCAGAAACTTGGAGCCACCTGCTGTGCGCTTTCCCAGCTGATGTGGAGCAAGAGAGGCTCTGCCTTCTCGTTCCAGCTCCCGTGCTGTAAACAAGTGTCCTTTCTGCCATCTATGAAGTGCCACGTTTTGTTTGGTTTTTTGCTTTTTGTTGGTATTTTGCCATTTAAAATGGACCCCAAACATAGTGATAAAATGCTGCGTAGTGATCCCAAGCACAAGAAGGCTGGGATGCACCTTACGGAGAATATATGCGTGTTAGATAAACTTTGTTCTACAGTGTTGTTCGCCGTGAGTTCAATAATAATGAATCAACGATATATACCAAATAAGGTATCTTTAAGCAGAAACACATAAAACAAGGTTATATATTAGTTGATTGACGAAAATGTTGTGACCAGAGGCTCAAAGGAATCTAACCCTGTATTTCCTCTAGGAACAACAGTTTAGTATTTGCTATTTGGCGTTCCAGAACATCACTGAAGCAAACAAGAAATGACTGTAATCGGTGAATATGAATCCGATTCCAAATCAGGCAAGTGTTTCTTTCATTTAAGCCCTTTTGTGACAGGCTCCATCCCAGCTGAATATTGGTATTGGGATTGGCTGAGATCAGATCCTCTGAATGTTATTCAGGACAGGAAGGAGCTACTGCTTGTATCAATTTGAAAATGGCATAACATCAAAATGAGGCGATGGGAGCCAGTAACAAAAATGGCAGAAATCTGACCAGAGGAGATGGATTATGGAAGACAGGAGACAACAAGGATACATGAGGAGGGCATGCATGGCTGTAAATTTCTTCCTCCAGAAGAAAACCTCTCCAAATGAAGCCTTTCCCTCTGAAGTAACTTTTTAATGGAGCTCTTGAAAACTAATGTATGTAGATGAACAAAAAGTGCCCTGGGCACATCTAACTTTTCAATTAAACTTCACTATATGATAGTGAGTCTCTAAAAGCAACATGATTATAATAAATAACATTCTGGACTGACAACTTTGTGCCAGGAGGCTTTCTGAACACTTCCCATACTTTGTTTTCATTCAATCCTCAGGGCCATTCCTTGAACTGCGCCTTACTTCTCCAGTATTCTAAGGCTGAAGCTGAGACTCGGAGAGGTTTAATAAGTTGCCTGAAGTCTCAGAGACCTTGAGATGCAGGCAGGAAGGTTCATATCCAATGCTAGGCTTCCAAAGCCCACTCTCTTATCTTTTTCCAACAGCCACACCACAGACACATTACCATATTTACCTAGAGTGTGGGCAATGCTCATTTCCACTTAAAAAGAGAATGTCGTTGTCATCTTTTGCAAACAGGAACAGTTTATAGGAGGTGGGTGTTCTTGTACATTTTTAATTTAAAGAGTAGGAGTGGATTTTTGAAATGGGGGTGCACCTTTTTGAAGCAGCAGGCCAGAGCTGTGAGGTGTGCTGGTTGTGGGAGCCCTAAGAAGCTAAAGACGATTAAAGCCAGTGCTAGGACCTCATGGACACCCTGCTTGATTCAGCTGGGCCAGCTGGCCACTCTGAGCTCATTCAGCACCCTGGGTTCACGCCTGATGCTGGGATGTAGGAAAATCAAACGCATCTTCTCCTGAGCTTTGACTTTAGATGGATACGTTAAAGGAGGCAAAAGATATACCTAGAAAGGGTATGGGAATTTGGGTGCCAAGATGACTGAGATTGAATTCTAGTTCCATCTTTCCTTGTTCCTACTTAAACTTCGCACAAGCAATTTCTCTTTACTAACTTATCTTCCTTTATCTTTATCTGTAAATGATGTAAAGAGAGTACCTCCATGCCCCGCACAGAATAGATAACACATTAAATGAGAGTCCTTTCCTTCCAGTTTCTGTGCCTTTTTTTTTAAGTGAGGACTCCTTTTTTGGAGGGAGTGACCTGATTGGAAGGTCCATTTTCTTACCTATCTTCTGGAGGAAGATAGGGTATCCTTGTCTGTTTTCTTTGAGCTGATGGTTACCTTCCTCTCAGTTCTGTTCCAATAAAAAACTAGTGAACAGACAAAGTGAAAGAAAACCATGATCCGCGGAAAGCAACGGTTCTTTGCAACCATGAAACAAATAGGAGTGTTCACTCTCCTGTATCTGTGTTTTTAAGTCCCAGCTCCAAGTGTTTGTTTAATTAATTTATACTCTTATTGTTGTAGCATAACCCTGCGACCTTCAGGATCAGTGCTGGTGCATTAATTACCCTGTGCTGTGTAAGGAAACCTTCCTAACTGTGCCCCTCACCACTCTGCCTTATTTTTTCACCTGAAGGGAACTGTGAAGGAAAAGGATTCCAAAGAAAACAGAGAAAGGGCAATTCCCCCCCCCTTTTCCTGGGGTCATGCAGACATTAAATAACTTTCTATAAGGTGATGAAGAAATCCAAGCTACTCTCACACCTTGTTGTGTCTGTGTGGAATGGGAGACACAAGTAATAGGTGTACTGATTAAGGTTACATTTATGCTTTCTCCAAAATGGTAGTAAAATTCAAAGTGAAAATGAGCAATAATCAATTATTCCAAGAGATTATCTGAAAGAGGATCTAAAAAAAAATAAAAAAAAAAATAGAACAGTGATCTTGGGCTCTAAGAAAAAAAAAAATTGCTGGAGAATATTTAGTATTAGTTTTAACCATAAGATAATGCCATTTCCTCACTATTTAAGAAATGAGTTATTTTCCAGCCTTCTTTCCCAAACATGCAGTATTTCTTATCAAATCTTTGGAGCCATCAGAACTTACTTGATGATGCTCTCTGGAATCTGGATGCAATCCATTGGGATCAGCCCACTGAGCTCTGATAAGCTGCTGACATACTTAATTTTACTGCTGAATTTTGAACTGAAAAAAAAGAAGAAAAGAAAAAAATACACGATTAGTTGTTCCTTCATCCTTCCTAAGGCTGTTGCCTCTTCTTGAAAATCCTGATATCCTTAACACTTTGCCCCAGCACTCTTACTGAGCAGAAAGGCAGCATTGTTTGAGTAGCTACTGTGTGCCAGAGACCAAGTGGTTTATATAAATTAACTCATTAACTTCTTAGTATAGTCTAGTGTGGTAGGCACTGTTATTATTCTTTTTAAAGTTAAGGAATCTGAGACACAGGAAATTAAGTATTCACCATCAGCAAGTGGCAAAGCCTGCATTTGAACCTGTGCAGTCTGACTGAGTCCATACTCGACCACACATCACATGACATCCTGCGGTTCCTGCCATTCTGCACTGTTACTGGATTATGGTTTGTTTGCCTTTGTTTGCCTGTTTAGTTGTTTTTAACAAACAAAAATCTTGCCATTAGTTTTTTCAAAATCTACCATGGTTAATATATTTTAAAAGTACATGTAAACTCCTTTTCCCCTTTTCAGTTTTAATTCTATTTTAAATATATTTAAGGTTTTTTTGGTAAAGTTTTAGTCTAAGAGTTCATTCCAGATGAACCAAAGTTCAAAAAAACTGGTTCCAATGATTATATTTGTATGACAAACCACTTCCATCTAAATGTTATCATTTTAGATGTGTGTAAATGCATAGAAAAATACTTGGGCCCAGCCGGGAGTGGCTTAGCGTCAACCTAGGATCCAGGAGATCGCGGTTCGATTCCCGGTCAGGGCACGTACCTGGGTTTCGGGCTCGATCCCCAGTCAGCANCGCGGTTCGATTCCCGGTCAGGGCACGTGCCCAGGTTGCGGGCTCGATCTCCAGTCAGCAACGTGCAGGAGGCAGCCGATCAATGACTCTCTCTCATCATTGATGTTCCTCTCTCTCTCTCTCTCTCTCTCTCTCTCTCTCTCCCCCTTCCTCTCTCTGAAATCAATAAAGATATATATTTTTTAAAAATGTATTATTCCACTTGAAAGGGAATTTGACCAAGCACTGAACTTTCTCAGATGGTTTCAAATGAAAGTTCCCCCCAGTCTACAGGGATCGTGCTGAGCTGTCTGCCAACTGTACTTCCTTCTGTTAAACTATGGTGCATTCTAGCAGGAAGCTTTTTTTTT